AATAATAATAATAATAATAATAATAATAATAATAATAATAATAATAATAATAATAAGTTCTTTATTTTTATTTATTTTATTTGGTTTGTCAATTGCTTACAAGATAATAGGTATAAGTAAAAACATAGTTATGAATATATGGATATATATAAGAAAAATAAAAGAAACAATAGGACAGGGACAGTAGGCACCTTGGTGCGCTTATGCACGCCCCCTACAGACCTCTTAGAAAAGGGGTGAGGTCCATAGTAGACAGTCTAAGGTTAAAGTTATTGGGGTTTGGGGAAGAAACCACAGAGTCAAATAGAGTATTCCAAACATTGACCACTCTATTGCTGGAGTCGTATTTCCTGCAATCAAGTTTGGTGCGATTAACCTTGAGTTTGTATCTATTGTTTGCTCTTGTATTGTTTGGTTGAAGCTGAAGTATTCATTGACTGGTAGGACATTGCAATGTATGATTTTATATACTATATTTAGATTGGACTGAAGGCGGTTTTCTAGGTCTAGAATTTCAAGTCTGGTGACATAAGGTATTCTGCAACGAGTAGAGGAGTGGAGAACTCTTCTTGTGAAATATTTCTGGACTTTCTCAACTATGTTAATATCAGATACGTAATGTGGTTCTAGACTGATGAGTTGTATTCGAGTATTGGTCTAGCAAATGTTTTGTATGCTCTAGTCAATAGTGTAATATTACCAGAGAAAAAGCTACGTAAGATTAGGTTAACAACTCTTAACGCCTTTTTGGCTACTGTGGGCTTTAGCACTTAGATCATTAGAGATGAGTACTCCAAGATCCTTGACAGAGTTTGGATCATCAACAAGGTCTTGACTATTCAGCCTGTATTTTATTTTCTGATTTTTTTTTGCCAATATGTAAGACAGAGCATTTATATGTTGAGATTTGAAGTTGCCATTTGTTTGACCATTCTGATACATAGTTGAGGTCTTTTTGAAGGACAGCAGTATTGTCTGTGGTGTTGAATAGCTTTACATCATCAGCGAAGAGAACGCAGTTGCTCTTAATATGATCACAGATGCCATTTATGCAGAGTATGTAGAGAATTGGTCCTAGAACACTGCCTTGGGGGACACCACTGTTGACAAAATTTGATAGGACGCTCCCAATTTTGACCATTTGTTGTCTGTTTGACAGGAATGCTTCTATCCAGTTATGCAGGGGTCCAGAGATACCATAAGATTTTAGTTTTAGGAGTAGTTTGTCGTGTACCACTGAATCAAATGCTTTACAGAAGTTTATGTAGATTGCGTCTATTGCTTTGCCCTGATTGAGTTGTGTAGTCCATATGTTTTTGCAGTGTAAGAGTTGCAGATTGCAGGATAGTTTTTTTCTGAAACCTAATTGTTTATTAGAGAGTAGGTTGTTTGTCTCTAAGTGAAAAATAATGGATTGATTAATAATTGATTCCATGACTTTACAGGTGACGCAGCATAAGGAGATTGGTCTGTAATTTTCAACTAGGCTGGGGTCTCCCTTTTTGAAGATGGGGATGACCGTGGCTTGTGACCATAGTTTTGGCAAGGAGCTGGTCCTGAAAGATTTTTCAAAGATTATGCTTAGAGGTTCAGCTATGGCAGTGGATAGCTTTTTTGAGAAGTAGGCACATATTCCATCCGGTCCAATAGATAGAGATGGTTTTAGATTGCCTAGTGCTTTTTCAACATTTTCTACTGTAAAATCAATATGTATTAGATCATTGTAGTTGTCTGTGATTCGGCTAGGAAATACTGGGCATGATCCATTGCTGTTTACAAATACTGAGCCAAAGAATGTGTTAAAGAGGTTGGCTTTAATAGTATCGTCATTGCAGTCTTTACCATTAGGTCCTTTCAGGTGTGGGATGGACCTTGAGCCTTTTAGTTTGTTGTTTACAAAATTGTAGAAAGCACGGGTGGAATTGGTGCGTAGAAGGTTTTCCTCTTGTTTAATGTGATAATTGGTGCATTCAGTCTTAATCTGGTGGCATAAATTTTTGTATTGGCTTTGAAGTTGGCAACGTGACCAGATTTGTTTTTCGACCAAAGTAATCTCTTTTTGGATTGAAGCTTCCTTATTGTTATGGGTAATCTGTTTTTACTGGTTTTTGGAGTTATTATTGATACATATAATTTGATGACTCTTTGACTTCAAGTAAAAATATGTTGTAATGGTCTTCAACAGTATTGCATCCAGTGAATAGAAATTGCCAATCAAGGGATGAGAGATCATTGTCTATACGATCATAGTTGCCTTTTTTGAAGTTATAATTGGGGATCGCATCATTGTGTTGATTTTTGTGTGGATGTATGTTGAGACAAAAGTCAATCATGCTGTGGTCACTGTTGGAAAAGAGTTCTTTAATTTGTATTCCGTAAATTGAATTCAAACTATTGCAGAATATGAAATCGAGGCAGTTGTTAAGTCTAGTATTGTTGGTTACTAGTTGTTCCAGTCCCAGGTTTGTTACAGCATTGTAGAAGGTTGCATGTATGGGTTCAGTTTTACATTCATTTAGGGTCCAGTTAATGTGAGGTAGATTGAAGTCACCAAGAAAGATAAAAGTGTGGGGGCAGGATGTTGCCCATGTTAGTAGTGAATTTAGTTTGTTTACATGTTCGATGTCATAATCAGGGGCTCTGTAACATAGTAAGAATTGAAATGTGATATTTAAGGACAGTTCACAGACGATGGTCTCAGGAAGAGCAAGCTCTTGGGTAACTTGGATGTTTTTTAGATGTAAGGACTTTTTATAGAATATAGCAATACCACCTCCTCTACGGATTTCACAATCTGATCGGTAAACATGATAGTCTCTTACTGTGGTAATGGAGTCAGGGAGAGATGTGTTGAGCCATATTTCACAGACAGATATGATGTCAAATTTAGCCATATCTAGTAAGAGGGGAAATTCAGGTATTTTATTCACAAGGCTTCTTGCATTAAGTAGCTTGCATTTAAGGCCAGTTGTAGTTGGAATTGAGGTAGTTAGGGGCGTGCGTGCCTAGTTTTGAGTGATGGTGGGTTGGATGAGGTAGGGTTGGATGTGGAGTTGTGGGTTGTGTGACTTACTTTTGATACAATCAGTGTGGTAGTCAATGTAGAGATCCTTCTCTCCATTGTCCAGACGTCTTCTGAGTTCCTTGCAGAGTTCAAGGAGCAGATTCTTTGCAGTATGGATAAGTCTGGTCTTGAGCAAAGTTTTTTGTGGTTGGGGTTGGTTTTTGCAATGGTGTTTATTGTATGAATGAATATTCGTTTGCTGGACTCATTTTTGCAAACAACTCTACAAAATTTTGGGGCCACCAAGCCATCATTGCATTTGGACTCAGGACCATCTCTGGTTATTTCAATGATATCTTCAGGAGAGATGATTGTTGTATTTCAGTTACTTATGATATTATGAACTTTGGTGATGTCATCTGATTCGTTGGTGTCTTCAAGACCAAATAAGATGGCATTTGGATGTTTTTGATCATGTTCCATGATGTCTCTGATGAGTAAGGGGATATCATTTGTGGAATTATTTGATAGTAATTATTTGTGGTTGTGGTTTGGTGGTTATTTTTGGTTGTAGTTGTGATTGTAGTTGAGGTAGTAGTTGTGGTAGTGGTTGTTGGGTTGGGATTTGATTTTGAGCTGATAGGTAGTTGCTTATCAGTGCTGTATTTTTTTTCCAAGAGAAATTAGGCTTTCTTGTGTAATTGTTTCAAAAAGTGTTGCTAAGCGTTTTTCTATTGAGTGCATGAGTGATTCTATGCTATCAACTCTGTCAGGCAGGGTACTTGGTTTGTTTAGCTTAGGAAAACATGATGGACATAGACAAAGGAATGTATCTGATGCTTTTAGGAGATCAGCTACGTCTTTGTTTAAGTTTGAGCAGGCAAGGTGGGCTTGACTGTCACATAGGTAGCATTTGATGTTATTTTCGTTTTCGTTGATGGTTTTAAGACATTTGAAGCATGTACAGAAGTCTGGTAGATCATTGGTAGAGATATTATTTTGTTGTTGTTGTTTGGTAGTGGAGGATTTGGAGTTTCTGGAGTTTCTGGCTGGCATGGTCAATGACAATAGTACACTAAACAATTAGATTAGCTAATTAATGTGATAGGTAGACAGTTACTTAATGAATGTTGGTAATTAAAGCCACATTTTTTGGTTTTTGTTTTGTTTTTGTTTTAAAGAGGAAGTGTTGCTGTTTGATAGATTTGAATGGAGAAGATTTGAATGAGCTCACCAATCATCTACTTTGGAGTTTGGAAAGGATGAGATTTGGGTGGGGGTTTAGTGGAGGTTGTCCAATCAGCTGAGTGGGTATTTAAATTCAGGCTGACTAATCCACTGGGTGATTTAAATGAAGCTGGGTGTAAAACTATCAATTCTCTGTGAGTCTCCTTTGTTCTCACCAATTAGTGGCTGTTTAGAATTATTTTTGGTGATTTGATTTAAATGGGGACTGTAGACATCATTCCAGTTCTTCCATTCAGAATTCACAATCAATCTCAGTTTCAAAAGTCAGTTTTCCTGAATAAAAACCTTCTTCACACCTCTTCTTCTCGTCTAGTCCCCCTTTTTTTCCTCCTTTTATCACTCTTTTCTCAAACTGCCATTTAACTTCCAGAGTTAGAGGGTAAAAACATAAATTAAGCCACTGCCGCTTAATCTCCACACTCACCCCTTCCACTCTGGAGTCTTCGCTTTTTAAGTTGTTTCTGACTCGGTTCCACAGTAAATCTTCGAGCTGTTTACCTGCTCCTTCCTCCTACTGAAAAATGCACCGCTGATCTTCACCTGGCATCTTAAAGATAAAAACACAAGTATCAAGCATAGCTCTTTCTGAAGAACAGATCACAAGTAGATCGATCGTAGTAGTTCCAGGAATGAAATTAGGTTAGAATTATTTATGACTGTTTCACTTTTCTCCTTCTTCAGCCTGGGGCAGTCATACCAGCAGGATTATGCGAATCATGCATATGCTCTGAAAAAGAAGATCCAGAAAACAATGTGGAATGTGTGTTTCAAAAATGTGACCAAAGATGCCCGCTGGTAAGCCACATTGTTCTTTTAAAAAAAACAAGAAAATTTCATGGCTTTCAAACTCTCTGAATCAACCCATCTACTCACTACTTATTTAAAAAAAAAAGTTCTACGATTTTATGATTTTTTTCCCATTTTTCTGAACTACAGGGTCACAAATATCAGGAAGTATCTGGACAATGCTGTGGCCGATGTGTTCAGTTTGCTTGTGTTCTGACACTGGATTCCTACCCTGCCCAAGTGCTCAAGGTAACTTGCAATTTTGCTAACTCCACTGTTCATCAAATTCACATTTAATCCACTCCTGTATCTAATGCTGATCCAATATTATAATCCTTTTTTGTGGCAGTTGCTAAGCAAACACCAGGGTCATTAAGTGAACTACTTGTTTGCTATGCACCATTTTTTGCCAAAAACTAGAAATAAATTCCAGCTTTTGGCAAAACCATCATAAAATGCAGTAACATGAGTGCAGGACGCTGCAAAATGGCCATGCATGTAGGCCACTTGCCAAACACCTGAAATGTAATCATATAATTGCAGGGGAGGCCCAGCTGTTGTAACTTTGAATGCCGATCATTAGTAGCTTTTGAGGGTCCATTGTAACTTTGAATGGTCGCTAAGTGCCCAGTCGTAAATTGAAAACTACCCATACTGAGTTCCTGACAGGGTACACCCCTTTTTCAGGATTCCCCTGGATGGGTAGCCATAACTCAACCCCAGGCCAAGCTTCCACTGTTGGTGGGCACGCCAAGCCAACAGTTATCATCAAACTATATATGTGCCACTGTAACAAATTGCATTCATCGTACCTTGAGCAATGCTAGGATCCAGCCAATTGCTGTATTTCTCAACTATCCAAATTTTTCACTTCTATCTTTTCACATTTTGAGGAACTGAACTGCATGCCACCCTCCACCCCATTCCCAGTTCTGTTCTCTGAGAAATTAAGGAATTTATGATCATGAACTATTTTTATGTTATCTTCTAAAATAAATAAATAAATACATAACTACAATTGTGTCTGTTTTCAGCCAGGAGAAACTTGGTACCCACCAGGAAACAATTGTACTGCATATGAATGTAATCTTTTTGAGAACCAATATGTTCCTGTCTCTATCAAGAGAGCCTGCCCTCCGTTGGATCCAAATTGCCAGCCGGTAAGTTTCACTGATCCAACAGTCTTTGTTTTATCGTATTTGGTTCTATGCACTGAAAATGGATTTTATCAAAAGATTAATTTGGAATTAATTGGGTTTATTATGGAAGGTTTACAACTGAACTGTATCAGTTGAATTTAAGCAAAAGCTTCAGCCATAATCTGACATTCTGTTGCTAAAATATGCTGTGATATAAGCAGCTCTATAAAACTGTAAACTAATTGGCTGCCATTGTCAGTAGTACCCATCTTTAGTGCACCAAAGGAGACAATATATTCAAAGCAAAGTGAATACTGAGATAGAGAATTAGTAAGAATGTTTCTGTTGTTGTTTCATATATAATATTTATAGAAGAAGTAGATGCATCAAGATATATAATATCCTTTTAGGATTCTCAACCAAATATTGTTCTTTAGCTAAACTAAACCAGTTAGCCATGCCTGACCACACTTGTAAGTGGATCATAAGCTTTCTAACAGACAGGAAACAGCAGGTGAACCTAGGTAGAATCACATCAGATACCTATACAATTAGCACAGGGGGATCCCAGGGCTGTGTGCTTTCTCCACTTCTCTTCTCTCTCTGTACCAATGACTGCATCTCAAAGGATCCCTCTGTTAAAGTACTGAAGTTTGAAGATGATACAACAGTGATTGGTCTCATTCGAGACAATGACGAATCTGCATACAGACAGGAGGTTGAACAACTTGCCTTGTGATGCAGTCTTGAACTGAACACACTTAAAACTGTAGAAATGATAGTAGATTTTAGGAGGAGCCCTCCTACACTACCAGCACTCACAATACTAGATAACACAGTAGCAACTTGCTCCTTCAAGTTTCTAGGTTCTATAATACCTCAAGACTTAAAATGGACACCTAACATCAAATATGTCATCAAAAACCCACAACAAAGAATGTTCTTCCTGCGCCAGCTTAGAAAGCTCAGGCTGACCCAGGAGCTGCTGATACAGTTCTACAGAGGAATTATTGAGCCTGTCATCTGCACCTCTATAACTGTCTGGTTTGGCACTGCAACCAATCAAGACAAATACAGACTTCAACGGATAGTTGGAACTGCAGAAAAAACAATTGCTACCAACCTGCTTTCCATTATATACTGCATGAGCCAGAAAAAGGGTTGTGAAAATATCTATAGACTCCTCGCATCCTGGACATAAACTGTTTCAACTTTTTCTTTCAGAACTATGCTATTGGCCGCTACATGTCAGAACAGCTAGACACAAGGACAGTTTTTTCTCCCATGCCATCACCCTGCTAAACAACTAATTCCCACTACACTTTCAAACTATCATAATACTTTCAAACTACCTAGAAAGGCAGAATTACCATCTTCCCTATTACCTATCATCTGTTTTCATCTTCCCTATTACCTATCTCCTTATGACTATAGCTTTGTTATGATTTATATTGTTTATTTAGTGTCCTGGTATGATTTATGTTGATTGCTTGTTTAGTATCCATGACTATCACTAAGTGTTGTATCTAATGTTTTGATTATGATAATGATCTATCACTATTGTGGTGTGTACACTGAGAACTAATGCACCTGAGATAAATTCCCTGGTCTAATCACACTTGGCCAATAAAGAATTCTAATGCTAATCCTACATGATATCCCTATGGGGGGAAATGGTGGTTTTAACATCATAAATTAAAGTCTGAAACATTTTATTTTTATAGGAGGATGTGCAATTCACTGATGATGGATGTTGCAAGTGGTGCAAACCTCAACGTAAGTTATGCAAGTTATATTAGCATAAGTCAAAACATTCAAATTTGTATCAGTGATAAAGGCATCTTTTGTGTTGCTATAGATGCTATTATACACCTTTCAGATGGCACTGGACGTCAATTCTATTCAAGCCCACTTATTATAGTTGGTGGGCAAAGTGGCTAGGATTTGTAGCCACACAATTCTGTACAGAAGCAAATTGACATGGTTATCATCGCTTGTCACATACATGCACACATTATACAGATAACCTTTGACTTACAACAGTTAATTTAGTGACTGTTCAAAGTTAAAACAACACTAAAAAGATGACATGACAATTTTTTCACATTTATTACCATTACAGCATCACATGGTCAAAATTCAAACACTTAGCAACTGGCTCATATTTATGATGGTTGAGGTCCTGTGATCACCTTTTGTGACCGTCTGACAAGCCATGTCAATAGGGAAACCAGATTCCCTTAACATCTCTATTGCTAACAACAACTGCAGTGATTCACTGAATAACTATGGCAAGAAAGATTGTAAACTGGGGCAAAATTCACGTAACAATTGTCTTGCTTAGCAACAGAAATTTTAGGCTCAATTGTGGTCGTAAGTTGAGGACTACCTTGTACACGTACGCTTTATTTTTATTTTTTTTGTTTGCTTTATGCTTGTGATCAGAGACTCAATTTCTTTTATTGTTTCTCTTTTCTTCCACTCTCAAGCGGTGAAACTCTGTGGAACAGCAAATACCACCAAAACAATAAAATACAATGGCTGTGAATCTTCACCAATTGAAGTAACATACTGTAAAGGCCAATGTGACAGTTTTTCAATGTAAGTAACCTTGAATTTTATTGCATCTTTGCTAACTTATTGTGAAATGACTGTTTAGCAAATCTTCACATGCCACGAGATATGAATGCAAAGAAATTATCTAAGAAGAAATTATCTCTTAGGATATCTGCAAAGCAGTCCAGATGACATTTTAATTTCATCTTTCAGCATTTGAAATGGAGGTTCACCTAAGACTCAATTCCTCAATTGCTGGTGCATTGCCCAGCATCTTAAATTATTCCAAATGAAGATGAAATTCTACTTAAGGTAGATTTAGATGGATCAGGGTGCAGGCCTAGCTCCCATTCCTTTAGGAAAAAATTGGCAAATGATCAACAAAGGAGAGATGTGGTGTCTGGCAGAGGTCAAAAGAAAGGTAGCAGCAAGCAAGTGAGTGAGAGGAGAGAGTGGCAACAATGAACAAGGAGGAGGGAAGAAAAACGCTATGGTGGCCCATCAACATTAATAATCTGAAGGACCCCAAAACTGATTGCATTGATAGAGGTACTGTAGGTCAGGAGTCTCCAACCTTGGCAACTTTAAGACTTGTGGACTTCAACTCCCAGAATTCATCAGCCAGCTATGCTGTGTGAGGAATTCTGGGAGCTGAAGTCCACAAGTCATAGAGTTGCCAAAGTTAGAGACCCCTGCAGTTGGTTATGACTCTCCAAAGCAATGCGAATGACATTGAAAAGACAAAAATCTGATGAAACCAAATAATGGTCGGTGAAGGGTAGTGGACTCCATCTTGCAGCAGCTCATCTCAATCTCAACTTGCTTTCACCATTCAGGTATTCCTATAAAGCAAACACAATGAATCATACATGCCACTGTTGTCAAGAGCAAAAAACTACAAAGAAGCAAGTGACCCTGATTTGCGCCAACGGGTCCACTTTGGAGTATTCTTACCTCCATGTTGACAAGTGCGACTGTATCAAGAGTGAATGCAACCATTTGCCCACTTCCACACCAGTTCCGCAAGAAGAGTTCACCTTCCTATCACAGGAACAGCAGCAGCAACTAGAACAGCAGCAGCAGAAGAAGAAACAGCAAGAATAAAAGCTGCAGCAGGAATGAAAGGGACTCTCGGGACCAGTCTTAAACATTTTCAAAAAGTGGCCCAGAATTGAATAAAAGTTAAAATGTAATAAAATGTACACATTATGCTCAAGCAACATTCAACCAAATATTTCCTCTGTCTACTCTTTAAGAAAAGATTTTCTCTTCTGCATGCCAAGCTTGTTGAAATGTCCTGACCTTTTCTTGGGTATAGGCTCAACTGAGACTATATGACTGAGTTGGGGGAGGGGGGAAATCTTGGAAGTGGAGGGGAAGAGGGCTTGGTGTCAATAATTGGAATCAGGGGACGGGGTGAAGAAATAAAAAGGATGTATTGGTTTGGTTTGGGAATCTTCTCTTGAGAAGCAACAATTCCTGGAATAAGGTGACAGATAGTACCATTTTAATTAAGACTGGTGGAGTTTTTAGCATTAGCTGACAGAAGCCAGACAAGATCTGGAAACTGAGTAGGATTCATCTCTGTTGCATGTGACAAGAACATTGGTTGATATTTGCTAAAATGGCAAGTGCAGCTCTCAGTTCCCTGTCATAATTTTTCTTACTGTGTTTCCAAATTCCTTTTTCTACAAACTTCATTTTTTTCTACTCTTTCCAAATATGAGAATAATGATGTAAGATTTTTTTGAAGATTTAGTACTATTTCAACAAGGGAGGGGCGGGTGGAACATGAAGTATGGCTGCTGCTGCTGCTGCAGAAGACTGTTTACATGATACCATCAGCATAGTAGTTGTATGAGGATCTGGATTACTTTTATAATTGTTTACAGAATGGACTAATATAAATATATGCACACCAAAAGGTCATTGGAGAATGTTTGTAAACCAAATAATATATAACAATACTATAACTTAGAATTTCTGTTCTGAGTTAGTGGATTGTTTTCAAACATCTAATTACTATTTATTTGTTTCCAGAAAATAGATTTTCAGGGATATTTTCTTTTGAATAAGGGCTTTACTGTCTGTCAACTAATGCCTGGTTGAGGGAAAATTTCATCTTTTATACTTGTTATTTGTTTCTCAACAACAGCTAAATGATTAATAAAATTACAGTATTTTGCAGGGGATATGCTTCTTGTTGTCAACTGCACCATACCAAATCAGTATCTCATTTCACTTCATTAGTATTATACTTTAAATAGCCAAAGAGCATGGTTGTTCACATAACAATGTTACTCCTATAGTCCCATTAATAATTCTATTTTGCATTGCTTAATACAAAAATTACCATCATCCCCCAACTTCTGTGCTGCCTCATTGGATTGGTGGGAAGAGGGTAGAGTGGGTTGTTCCTGAGAGATATAAGCGAAGAACACGACTATATTCCAGAGTACGGGTAATCCTCAATTTACAGTCATAATTGAGCCAGATTACAGCTATAATTCATTACAGTTATATTAAATGGGTAACCATGTGACTGTTTGCAGGATTCATTCAGTGAACACCCTATATTCATTAAGCAAATCTATTCGATTCATTTGGCATTTTTTGCTGAAAACTGGAAATAAATGCCCAAAAAACAACAAAAACCCATCCAAAATTGTGATCATATGACTGGAAGCTACTGCAAACCACTATAAATGTGAGCCAAATGTGAGCCAGTTGCTAAGCATCCAAAATCTGATCACATGATCAGGTTGGGGGATGTGGTTGGTGGAACTGCAAAATTGTGTCGTAAGTACCTTTTGGGGGATCTATTATAATCTCAAACAATTGCTAAATGACCAGTCATTAAGCAAGGACTACCTGTATATACTCTCAATGAAGATCATCACAGATGCCCAGCTAAAGCAAGCAGGCACCAACACTGAGCAACGGTGATATAGGAAGATGCCAGAGGCAGATGATCACTTTAGTGATAATAGCAAAGGCTTTGATTCTTATTGCGTAGGAAGTCAAAGATAAACCCACCTGTATTTTTATCAAGAAAACCACATGGATAGAAATTTTATTTCATTAATCAAATGTATATGACCACCTATCTCATTGAAGGTGGTTGATGCCAAATAAGGGGCTCCTCAGGTTGGATGGCACTCATATGCATATGATGCATATGTGGATATTTCACTAATAGCAATAGCACTTAGACTTATATATCACTTCATAGTGATTTACAGCACTACAACAATCTGGGTCCTCATTTTACTAACTTTGGAAGGAAGGAAGGCTGAGTCAACCTTGAACCACTCAGAATCAAACTCCTGGAGTAAGCATGAATTAGCCTGCAGTACTGTACCAGCTCAGTGGTTATGACATGGCTAGATTAAAATCTTCTGGACATCTAGGGATTGAAGTTGTTACACAGAAAAAGAAAATCTAAAGCAGCAAAGACAGAATTACACTAGGAACATGAAATGTAAGAAGCACAGGAAAGTTCAGCACAGTGAAAGATGAAATGAAACAATTACAAATTGACAAAGTAGGCACCAGCAAATTGAGAGGGACTGAGATGAGACACTTTCAGTCAGAAGATCATACTCTTTATTACTCAGCACATGAAAAACAAAGAAGAAATGTCTTGCTTTCATGGTGAGAAAGGATAGAGCAAGAACAGTATTTGGCTACAACACAATCAGTGATGAAATACCGTGTTTCTCACATAATAAGGCCAGGCCTTATTTTTTTTTGACCCCCGAAAAAACGGCTAGGACGTCTTTTCGGGGGGTGACTTAATTCTCCCCCCTTGCATCCTCGGGTGGGTGGGCGGGCGGCGACAGCTTGGATATTCGGGAGACCTTCGGGTTGGGCCACCGTTGCTTTCCCTTCTCCCTTGCTGCCGCGGCGTTTGGCGCAGCCACGTGCGGCCAGTCAGGGCTCCTCCCTGCAACCGGAGCCCTGAGGAGACACTTGGCTTCAGGCGTTCCCGTCTTCCCTTTGCTTTCGAAGGTAAAGCGAATTATTTTACAAAGCCTCCCCTGCCCGAGAGGGCAGCCCAACCCCACGTGGGGAGGCTAATTTCCCGGGGCCTCTTCCGTTCCTCCCCGACCTCCCTACTCTGCGCGCCTCTGACGCGCCGCTCCCTTCAGCCCAGCGAGCTCTTCCACCTCAAAGAAAGGCCAGGCGGGCGGCTGCGGAGCAGCAGCAGCGGGTCTGAGCCGCTCGCAGCGGAAACAGCCACCACCCGTAGCCCGACACGGGGAGAACGAGCGAGGTTAGCGCCCGCCAGCCCGGGCGAGATTTGGGAATGAGGGGCAGGAGGAGGCACGCACACACCCACGGCTCACTTTCCCAGCTTTGCCCAGCCCTTACGGCTCTGGCGCGGCCCTGGCAGGATGAGCGGAGGGTCCGGCGGGGAGGCGCTCGCTGCCGTAAGGGCTGGGCAAAGCTGGGAAAGTGAGCCGCGGGTGTGTGCGTGCCTCCTCCTGCCCCTCGTTCCCAAATCTCGCCCGGGCTGGCGGGCGCTAACCTCGCTCGTTCTCCCCACGTCGGGCTACGGGTGGTGGCTGTTTCCGCTGCGAGCGGCTCAGACTCGCTGCTGCTGCTCCGCAGCCGCCCGCCTGGCCTTTCTTTGAGGTGGAAGAGCTCGCTGGGCTGAAGGGAGCGGCGCGTCAGAGGCGCGCAGCGTAGGGAGGTCAGGGAGGAACGGAAGAGGCCCCTGGAAATTAGCCTCCCCACGTGGGGTTGGGCTGCCCTCTCAGGCAGGGGAGGCTTTGTAAAATAATTCGCTTTACCTTCGAAAGCAAAGGGAAGACGGGAGCGCCTGAAGCCAAGTGTCTCCTCAGGGCTCCAGTTGCAGGGAGGAGCCCTGACTGGCCGCACGTGGCTGCACCAAACACCGCGGCAGCAAGGGAGAAGGGGCAGCAAGGGAGAAGGGAGAAGCAATGGTGGAAGGTCTCCCGATATGAAGTGCCCCACCAACGCAGGCAGCACCATATCCGGGCATGCAACAAAAGTACTTACTAACGGAAAGCCCCCCCCCCGCTCTCCCCCCCCCATTTTGCATGTTTAATATGGGGCTTAATTTGGGGGGAGGGGCTTAATTTGATTTTATGCCAATAAAACATGGTGGGGCTTCCTATTGGTGGAGGCCGTATTGTTGGAGAAACACGGTAATATCGAATCAACTTTGCGGACAATCCTTTAATATGATGATCAATCAATATTGAAGTAATCAACTTCTTTTTCTTCTACATCAGTAGAAGAAAATCAATAGAACATGCAAGCAAGATGTGCTGTTTGTGATTGGAAACCTGAGTGCCAAGGTTGGAAATATGAAAGAGGAAAATACAGTTGGATTGTGTGGCTTAGGAAATCAAAATGAAGCAGGAGGCTGACTTATCCATTTTTGCCACCACAAATTTTTTTTCATAGCTAAAAAGGTCTTTGAACAACCAAAATGATGCCTTTATATATGGACTTCACTAAAGTGAATATATAGAAATCAAATTGTTTATATTGTTGCTAAGAGGAGGAGGAAGAGCTCAATTATAGCATCAAAGCATGGCCAGGAACTGATCACAAATTGCTCATGTGCAAATTTTAGGTTAAGCTATAGAACATATATCCATCATTTTTCAAAGAGAGCTTTAAGAATAGCTCTGAAGTTTTGCACTTCATTGGTAGAGAACCAGAGGATTTCTGAAATGAACTCAAAGAAGTTTTTAAGAATGAATGTGAAAGGAGACTGTCGAAAAAGAAAAGAAAAAAAGCACACCTGTTAGAACAAACTGTGGAAATTGCCAAGAAGAAAAGAGAACTCAAAGCCAAGGAAGACAAAAACCTCAGAAAGGAACTTAAAAGGTTTCAGAGAGCTGTTAAAAGAAACAAGAAATTATATTACAGCAACATCTATAAAGACATTGAATTTGGAAGCAGACATGGGAAACAAAGAAGTCTTTCAAAAGATCTCTGAACTCAGAAAAAAGTTCCAGACTTGAATTGGTATGCTACAAGATGCCAAAGGACAAATAGTAACAAATTATAAGGAGACCAGAGGAAGATGGAATGAATATAATGTTATATATATGAATATATATAACACTACACAGTAGAGATATCAACATCCAAGATACTTTAGAACAGTGGTCTCCAACCAGTGGGCCGAGGACCACTGGTGGTCCATGAGAAAATTTTGGTGGTCCACAGAGAAATGCCTCCCCAAAGCACTCCCCCCAAAGCAATTAATCCAGGCTGTGCAGGAACACAAGGCTGCACCACCCACATGGCCTGTCCACTCACTGGTCCCCACCCTTCAGCCAAGCACAAATCTTACCTTGAGTAGAGCCATGTGAGCTGGAACTGAAAGGTCAGACCAATGGCGGGGAGGGAAATCCACCCCAGGGTGGCTTGCTGATGTTAGTGGGAAAGTCATCCCGGAGCAGCTCCTCCAGTGCATGGCAGGCCAATGCACTCAGGTGGAGAAGTAGCTGCTCCGGGATGACCAAAGGGCCAGTCCTGTGACTACTTTAGCTCTGGAATATGGGACCGACTTTCCCACCAACGTCAGCAAGCCACAGTCAGTCAAAATTCATATTAGTGGTCCGCGGGATTTAAAATTATGAGTTTGGTGGTCCCTGAGGTCCAAAAGGTTGGCAACCCCTGCTTTAGAAGATATTTTTCACTTACAGGAATGTCTAGTACTAAAAGATGAAATTAAATTTACCCTCTGGTCATTGCCAAATTAGAAGGTTATAGGAACTGATGGTATACTCACTGAAATATGGCAAGCAACAGAAGAAGAACTGGTCAAGATTCTAACCAAGCTATGCTAGCAACTCTGAATAATGGCATGGTGGTCAATTATTGGAATTCCAATATTTTAAAAGGGAGCTTAACAAAGTGTGTAACCTATTGTGTAATATCCTTCATTGCCACTGTATGGAGAGAACTTTGCAAAGCAGAAATGGCTCCAGTTCAGCAAAGAAGTGCAACAAGATTGCATACTCTCTCCTTATTCAACCTGTATGCTGAATATATATTAGGGGAAGATGGATGGAATTCATGACGATTTAGCCCTAACCCATTCTTTCAAGTCTTCTAATGGTGAACTCATCGTTGCTATAACTGAGATCATGTGCCTTGCTATTGGTTACCCTTGTCTTCTCTTTCCTTTTGCTTTTT